AGGCGGACAAGAGCGCGATTGAAGCCGCCCTAGGCGTGCCGTCAATGTGGTGTCACCGTCTAATTACGCCCTATTTGAATCCCCAAGGAAGAACACAATAAGAGGGGGCGTAAAATTGAAGGCCACCCGAATGAGGATTTATTGTGTGCTGAACCCAGAGCTGCTGTCTAGGCTGGCAGTGGTCGCTGGCGTCAGCCAGGGCCTCATGTGGACTGCGTCCAGTCTCGCCTGACAGCGTCTGTCAGCCCGTGTGCAACTCTCCGTGTGAGATGTAACGATTACTTGGAAGTGATTGGGCAAGCGAGTTCAAGTGTTGCATGATTGGTGCGTGGATTTCCCCGAGGAATGTCGATAATTGAGGTCACCTACCCTAATAGCAAAACGATCTCGTTTCGAGCTCGCTAATTCGAAATATCGAGCTCGTTTTGGCCGCCTGTTCGAGCTCGAAAAAACGAGCTCTAAGCGAGCTCTCGTTATCGCGCTTGTAGCTCAAAAAATCGACTTTCATATTCATCCGGACAGGGTTTTCCTCCTCTCCTGCCAAACCCCCCATTTTTTCGAAACATAACGAAACAGTACTTTTTTGAACACTGTTTAGTAGAATGTATATATTAATATTAAAAACGGGCTTAAAATATTAGGTACAAAAATGATAAAATGTTCTCTTTGGTTGGCGTTTAGGAGTCTTGGTTACCAGAAGGCATCATTGTAGAGTTCATAGACGGCCCTGGCGCATCGTCATCATCATGGTTTCGGCGTATATCTAAAAGAAGGAAATTAGGAAATTAGTACGAAGGTAAATATACGTAAAGTAACAGCGAGTGCCAAGGTTAAGTGGCCAAAACTCTCACTTACTTTTCCGATATAACGGTAGTTTATCTATAGCTAAGTATTTTACTATCTTATTTCCTACAATAGGCATGGAAAATTGACCTATCTTCTTAAAGTTGTAACAAGTCCCATGTGGACATACTCACTGTTGCCCATTGCCGTTAACTTTGCCTGATTGGTTTTCCTTCTCAGAAGCGTACGTCTATCACTTGGTAGTTTGAAAGCACCACGCTTCAAAACTGTGAGGAGTTTTTTCAGATGTTTTATCGGGATGTTGGTGTATATTGTCCAAGAACACAAAGCATCTTTCAGACTCTGCCCTTGCTCCATCGCTGGGTTACTTGTTGACTGTTCGGTTACTTCTTCGGATGCCGAACTGCTCCAACTACTACCTTCCTCCCTCGATGATGTACTACAGTCTGAATCCTGTCAGTCAGTCCTGTGGCCTCTGTCTTTTCCATCGTTCTTTGATGTGTTTGTAAATACTATCCAACTCGACTTGCCGGTTAATGCATGAATCGTCGGAGTGCATGGCTTTGAGCAATTCTCGGCCATTTTTGGAAGGGCAAACTCCA